TATCTCAATAAGTTGAAAAAATACACGTGTACTTTTATGATCAACCATCTTAAAAGCCAGCGATTTATTCCCAAATTCCCTTCACCGCATCTTCTAGCTGCCTGTATGTCGCTCGCATGCTATTTGGCTAAAAATTATCCCTACAATTTTAGAACAAATTATAGATGGATACCTGTGAATTAGCAATGACATGATTTGCCTCCAGCTGGATTGGGAATTTGATTCCAAGCTCAGACGAGAATGACGCCATGGGTGAAAGAGTCCCAGACGTCAGCACAATGCAACGAGCCTGAGAGCCAAGCTCTGAAAATACCTAAGGAAAGGAAAACAAGAAAGGTAGGAAAGACCAATGGACAAGCTCGGAAGAGAGATCTCCCTTGAGGGAATGAAGTATAATCGACGATGTAATCATTTCCGATGGGTCGTTTCGAGTGCTCACTGCGAGTCTTCATCATTCCGCCTGAAGACGACTCACAAGGCATTCACCACGATGAATACCCGCCACCTTTTTCAAGACACATGTATCTCCCTTGATAGAGCAATTCTCAATTGAGTATTGAAAGTGATTTTGATTTGTTTTTACTTTGCCCTGTGATTGGTCCAAAAAAACACGCGCCACCAACTTAACCAATCAGATGCAGGAGTAAAACTAATCCCAACGTTGTCAGTCGCGTTTTCCCGCGCTTCAAGCAGATTGACTGTTTTTACGTTCAGCGGTTCTCATTGGTAAATAACAATATAAACCTTGGTTATGACCGGTCGCTAAGATTATTTTGGTTTCGGTTTTTCGGCACTCAGTCGATAACTGTTCTATCACCAAATTAACGCAGGAGTTATGTAACCAGTGGCATTTAATATAAGGTTCATGTCTGGTGATATTACTCCACCTTTGCCATCCCACACGCAAAAATGTACTCTACTATGCTAACGATCAACACCAAATGAGAACAGTTCTTTACTGTCGACTTAAGACACGAACGTAAATACATCGTCCTTTAAAGGGTAAATTTGCACTACGATATCTTACCACTGCAGGGTTTAAGCACCAAAAGTTCAACGATTGGGTCCATTCCTTTCTAGACCCTGTTCAGATAAAGCAAGTTCCTTATTAGCGCCATAAATAAAATGAAACCATAGTAAGACTTGCCTGTCATACATCACTCATTGACTGAACGCTTCCCCTCAAACAGGCGCTCCTTTCTGATATCCACCCCAACTATCGGCCAGAATTTTTGATTATTATCACCAGCCACTTAGCTAGTACGTTGAAAAGTTCAATGTCGAGCCCTGCTTTAATCCTTTAATCTCTAAGAGAGACTGGCATCTAATTTCTCCTTACTGAATTACTGCTGAACCTCACATTAGGTCCATGAGAAATAATCAAAGCCTCTTTAGCGCAACCTCATGGTATGAATTTTTGGCGCCCTTGACGTAACCTGAGATCTGCCTTACTTTGGAAAGTTTTTTTGATCGTGAGCAACACGTGCTGGCAAAATTATAGTGTTTGTAAGCGTTTTGATGGAGAAAAATTGTCTTAAATTGCGAATGTGTGAAGAATTAGTTAAGATACCGGCAAAGTTTTTGTGGTTGTGGGTGGAACAAGAAAAAATCAACAAGGTTTCACGCTAACCAATTTGCAGTAAGCTTAAGCTCACTCCATATTCGCGGTGTTTGGGTCTTCACGCAAGAATCGTTCATGTTATCGTCACTTTTAGAACTCAGACGCCCATTTCTCTGCAGTCGAGTTTTCTGTAGCATATTTCCTTTCCATTTTTGGCTCCACAAAGGTATGTTTTAATCAAGTTTGGAATCAAAAA